ACAGAGGAGAAGAAGCATAAATACCTCTAGCTCTCCCCCCTCTGTTTGCTCTGTACCTAGCCTAGGAATCTCTACCTAGTATCTAATATAATAACTTAACGTAAACCCCCAGCACCCGGGCCAACCCAGCACCTGGGCCAAAAAAGCTTGGCAGTACCAACTCACGTTACAACTCTTCAATTTCATCGCTATTTAACATAGAGCCTGTGTACACTTTGCTTGTATCTAATTTAGAATATGCCTCTATATCTTTTTTACACATTCGCGCGTTGTGTATAGTCCCTCTACAGTTTCTACAGCACTGTAGAGCTAGTTAAGCTTATTCTTAATTACTACTACTACAAGCCTTCTTTAACCACTCAGCAGCTACAGAGGCCTCTGCGGCCACCTGAGCTGCTGCCTTACCATACTCTATAGTACTACCTTGCTAGATCTACTTCCTTTTGCGCAATTTCTGCTTAGTTATTACTACTAATTACTCTTTAAGCTTAGTAATCTAGGCTGCTTAAAGCGCGTTCTGATACAGCATAAGCTTGCTACCTCTAACAAGCTAAGAGAAGCCTACTTACACAGTAATAGGTAACTAAGTAAAAGACTTGCGTACAAGCTTTAACTAAGATCTAAACTTGTAGGTATTGCTTAGAGTCTTTAACTACTATAGCGTCTCTAGGAGGAGGGGTTCTAGCAGGGTACGTAGGCGCACTTTAAGGTAATCTAACACAACCTGCGCATTAAGAGGGACTAGCCCTGCTGCCTTAAAGGCCTTGCAATAGTTCTCTACTATAAATATAGTAAAAAACACGTCCTTAAAGGTAGGGAGAAAACCTTCTTTGTTAATATAGAAGACATGCTTATATACTAAGTCTTGTACGCGCTAAGAGTACTTATGCTTTAATAGCAAGAAGCAGACTATATTAAGCAGCTAGAGGATGTGCAATAAGTAAGGTAGTATGTAGAGGGTAAGGATTATATTTTTAAGGTAGTAGTCCTTAAAATCCTAGTTAAGGTAGCTCTTATAGCTATCTAAAATAAGCAGCCTGTACGCCCCTACCTGGCTTGCCTTTGTATGCGCGTCAAAGTGCTTCAGCCACTCAAGGCTGAGCGCGTTGTTCGTCCAGCCACTCTCAGAGACAGAGAGCTTCCAATTGCGTGGTATATCTGCCTCCTTGTACTAGGCAGAGATGTGAACGCGTCCTTTGTAGATAATAAAAGGCAGGGTACAAGATCTAGCAGCACAGACACTCTAGATAACTGTTACCCACTCGCAATTACCTAGCTAAACAAGC